CTGTGCATCCCACCCTCCTTCATCCCGCGGGAAGCCAGGAGAAACTCGGGAGACCTTCATTTGGGCCAGTGATCAGGAGGCTGGGAGGACGCTGGGGGAGGGGTGGCTGATGGCACTCTCCTGTGAGGCTGGCAGAGCATAGAGCTCAGACCTGGCCTGGGGGTGGGGGGTCGGCCCCGGGTCTGGCAGGAGGTTTCAAGGCCTGGAAAGCACCTGTGCCTCTTCCCCTGCTCCCTGGAGCTGGTGATAGCGAGGGGGGGGCATTGGAGTCTCGGAGTGCGGGCCCAGGGCCTGGGGCAGAGGAGGTGGAGGGCCTGGCCCAGGGCCCTGCCGCCTGGCAGAGGTGGGGCAATGCGCAGAGCCTCTCCCCCTTTGGGGCTTTGGCTGCACAGCTCTGGGCATCTCTATGCTGCCATCTCCTCCTGGTGCTGTTGTCTGGGGTGCCACGTGGTGCCATCTCCCCACCTCCCTCCAGTGGCTCTTCTGGGCATGCCTCCCAGGGGCCTGGGTTGTCTGGGCTCGGGCAGCCCCTTTGCCAAGTGGTCCTGAACTGGCCAGGACCAACTGGCCAGGAGTCCTGAACCCTGTCAGGAACCAAGAGAGCGACCTTCACTTAAGCTCCGGTGAGTCACTGGGTGCTGGGATCTTCCCAGGAGCCCCTGCTCACGGCTGTGGGGAAGAGGCTGCCTGGGGGGCAGGGGTCATCTGCGAGAGAAATCCGGTTCTGCGGTACTTGCCTGTGTCTGTGCTCTGGGGGTGGCAGCCAGGGGCCCAGAGAGGCAGCTGTGTCTGGTCCCCCCAGGAAGGAGCCCCTGGAACTCCATGGGGGTCACGAAGCTGATTGTGCTGAAGCTCATGTCTCATGATGATTATTATTAAACTATATTTTTACTGATTTCAGAGAGGAAGGGAGAGGGAGAGAAAAACATCAATGATGAGAGAGTCATTGATCAGCTGCCTCCTGCACGCCCCCTACTGGGGATTGAGCCCACAACCCGGGCATGTGCCCTTAGCCAGAATTGAACCTGGAATCCTTCAATCTGCAGGCGGATGCTCTATCCACTGAGCCAAACCAGCTAGGGCTCATGTCTCATTATTAATCAAGTTTGTTATTTTCCTCACTGACTGGATGTGTTTGTCAAGGTCGTGGCCCTCTGGAGAGTTAATCTAATAAGCACACATTGCCGTGTCTGGGTTTAATTTTCCATATTCTGTTCATTTCTTATGGAGCGAGCCTTGTGTGGGGAGCTGTGGCCTGGTTTGTCACTAGCTTCTGCCTGCCCAGCTCGGCCCCCAGGCAGGCATTGGGGCCCAGTGCTGGGGCACTGCCTGGTGGGGCAGACGAGGGGGTTCGTGGAGGGGGGTTGAGAGGGTTGAGAGGAGACTCGCTCTTTTCTGTGTTTTCCCCATTCCCCCTCCAAAGGCATCTTGGCTGACATCTCCCCAGCACTGGAAGTTGGTCTGACTCTCCCGTTTGTCTTCCCTGAGGACGGTGAGGAAACTTGTATGTGGTGGGAAAGGCCACAGCTGCTGGGAGCAGGGCCTTGGAGGGGCCTCAGCGCCCCTGCTAGGGTCCCAGCCTCCCCCTCCCCCACCCGGGGTGGAAGGAAGGGAGAAGAGGAAGGCCTGTCTTGGGTGAGGGGGGAAACTGCTGGGAAAACAGGAAGAGCTGTGAGGAGGGAGCGGAGGAAGGGCTGTGTGGCCGATGGGCTGGGCAGTGGGTAAACCTGTGTGGAAAGAAAGCATCTCTTGTTGTTTATGCAGAGGCATATCCGTTAGGTGTGTATAGCCCCACAGTTTTCCAAATGCTTTTTAGAAAAATTATTTGATCTCTACTTGGGACCTCCTAGTATTTGATCTGCTGCCACCCGGTAAGGTGTTACTGATTCTCAAGAAATGGCATCTTCCCCAGGTTAAATGCCTGTGGCTCTACGGCTGCACCCGGGGTCTCTGGACGCCCAGCCCAGTGCTCCTTTGCTGCTACTTGTTGCTTTAAAGCTGTCCAGCCTCTCCCCTCCCCATCCCTTGCTTCAGTTCCTCTTCATCTTCCCAGGTCAGCTCAGCACTCTCCTCTCCCTGTGGGGCTGGAGGGCTGGCTTCCATCGGCCCAGGGTCTGGGATCTAGCTGGCTCCTGGTTCTGCATTCTCTCCACCTTAGACTGGCTGCTCGGCACCAGGGTCTCCCACCACCCTGACCCTGGGCCTGCCGTTTCTCTCGACTCGCTCCTGCAGAAAGAGCTCCGGGTTCTCCAAAGCATGAGGCCTGGTCCTGGGACCCCTGTGCGCCTCTTCTCTTTTTCTCCCACCCTCTGCTCCATCCTTATCACCTCAGCCCTCTCTGCTCTTGTGAGAACTTCGGGTGCCCTGTCTCATCTTCCCTTTCCCACGGCCACTGTCCTCACGTGGGGGTCTGGTGGTCCCCCCTGGGTCGTGATAATACAGTCTCTTCCTTGGGCAGCCTGAGGCCACACCTGCCTTCCTGCAGATGAAGGTGCTGGTGACATGTGACCCATCTCAGGAGCCCTCAGCGACCCCCGGGCTGCTGGACAGAATTCCCATGTAGCAGCTCGTAAGCCCAGACCACTCACAGGCTGAACCAGCTCTCTGCCTCAGGGTGGGACCCTCTGCCCACCTCCCCACCACCAGGACTCTTCTTCCCTCCTCCTGGGAGCCCCACCCCATCCTCAGGCGCCAGCAGGGAGTACTTGCTAAGTGCTGGGAAACCTAGGTTTCAATCCCTGTGTGACTCCCAGTGACTTGGAACAAATTGCTTACCCTCACTTGCCTCACCTGTAAAATGGGGATAATCTCACCTGCTTGAAGGGTTGTTATAGCAAGAATGTGAGTGGATGGGAATTGATTTGTCACCTGAAGGGCAGGCCCACTCAGCAGCCCTGGATGGGCTTTCCCATGCTGCCCTGGTGTCACTGCTTTAGCTGCCTGCTCCTGCCTGCTGGGGGCAATCACCTACCCTCTTGCTCCCCACGCAGATGGCACGTCCCGTGAGGAGCAGAGCCTTTTGCCAGGTGCCTTTCACATCCTGGGCTCCTACCTCGCAAGGGTCATCCTGCATCCCGTAAACTGGCCCCTGCTCATAGCGGGAACATGTGAAGTGATTATAGTGTTTGGTCATGTAAAATAGGGTATGCGTTCCATTTAGCAAATCAAATGTAAACACATCTCCCACCACAGTGCCCACCAAGGTCAAATGTGGGATGAAGAAGGGCATCGGTTGCCCATGGCACTGCTCTGCTTATCCCTCTCAGTCGTCCCAGCTCCCCATGAGGCAGCTGTGAGCATCTCCACGTCTACAGGTGAGGAGGGGCCCTGGGGCACTGCAGTGGGATGTCTGTGCTGCTTCACAGATGGGGGTGGGGGGACATTCCAGAACCCCAGCTCCTTCCCCTGTTCCTGGGCCTGGAAAAGGGAGGGAGAGGCCCTTTATAAAAAGACTAGAGGACTAGAGGTCCAGTGCATGAAATTTGTGCACTAGGGGTGGCGGGGGCGGGGGGGTGGCAGGGAGAGGTTGTCTTTCAGCCCGACCTGGGCCTCTAGCAATCTGGAACCCCTCAGGGGATGTCTGCCTGCTGGCAGAACGGGCCTAAGCCAGCAGGCAGACATCCCTCTCACAGTCTGGGACCCCTTGCTCCTTACCGCCTGCCTGCTTGCTGCTCCTTAGCGCTGCCGCGGAGGCAGGAGTGGCTCCCACCACTGCCACTGTGCTTGCCAGCCATGAGCCTGGCTTCTGGCTGAGCAGCACTCCTCCTGTGGGAGCGCACTCACCACGAGGAGGCAGCTCCTTCATTGAGCGTCTGCCCCCTGGTGGTCAGTGTGCATCATAGCGACTGGTCGTTCTGCCTTAATGGGCACTTAGGCTTTTATTACATAGATTCCTCTCAGGTGTTATTCCATGACAGAACCCACTCGATGTACGTGTGTCCTTTGCATACAGCCCCGCAGGGACTACTTAGTGAGGGGCCCCTGCATGGGGCTCCTCCCTGGGCAGGTGGGTGATGTGAGTGGCGAGCACAGAACACCCCCGGACTGGAGCTCAGGGCAGAGGAGGGCCTTCCTCGGTGAGGAGGGCTGCACTGGGAGGGGGGCAGGCATGTCCTGAGGACACGGTGAGGCCAGGAAAGGAATGTCTTGAGTGGGCAAGGGTTGGCAGAACAAGTCAGCTCAGGAGGGCAGGCGAACGGAGAGGAGAGAGTCCAGTTGACACATCCAGGCTGGGAGACATTGAGGATCCATGGGCAGAGGTGTGCAGTGCCGGCCAGGACTTGAGGGCCTGGGGCTGCAGTGAAGGCAGAAGGAGGTGCACTGAGTAGCATTTCCAAAGAGCAGAGCACACAACAAATTGGATGAGCAGATGAGGGAGCAGGGGAGTAGGAGAGAACTTTGAGGTTTTCGCCCTGGAGATGAGGGCAACTGTGATGCCACTTTCAGAGACGAAGCCAGAGGTGAAGCCCCTTTGAGGGAAGGTCTGAGTATGTTGCCAGCCAAGCGGAGGGGAGGCCGCTGGAGCATGGGGGGCTGGGTAGGGGGCTTTCTGGGCAGCAGGTGAGCAGGCTTGTGTGAGGGTGAGCACCTGCAGCCACATGCTGTGTACGGCACTTCTTTCAGGCATTTCTGATGACTGGGTTTCACCTCCACACCTTCTGCGAGCCCTTTGTGCTCTCCCCTCATGGCCCTGGGACCCTGTGCCAGCCCTCTCTGCTCTCCCCTCATGGCACTCACCATGCTCCCAGCCCTCTCTGCTCTCCCCTCATGGCACTCACCATGCGCCCAGCCCTCTCTGCTCTCCTCTCATGGCCAGCTCCTTCATTGAGCGTCTGCCCCCTGGTGGTCAGTGGCACTCACCATGCGCCCAGCCCTCTCTGCTCTCCCCTCATGGCACTCACCATGTGCCCAGCCCTCTCTGTTCTCCCCTTGTGGCCTTGGGACCCTGTGCCCAGCCTTCACTGCTCTCAAAGTTGCTCATCTGTGTTTCACCTCCAGGGGACCTGGAATGGAGCTTACCTCCAAGAGGGCTGGGACCCCACACCTGCTTTGCTCAAGGTCAGTCCTGTCCCAAGTGCCTTGCACAGAGCAGGTGGTTAGTAAATATCTGTCTTATTTAAGTGACCTCAACTTATGCTTAACAAATGTTTGTTACAGAGATCAGTTCCTAGAACGTGGATGTGAGGGCAGTGATGTGGGCCCCGCTTCCAGGAGTGGGTGTCCCAGGGTCCTTCTGCAAGATGCCGCCTGTCTGATTGCTTTGACTTTCTTCTCTCTTTTATGTTGACCCGGGAGGTGCCAGCTCTGCACTAGCTGTTCCCAGGGTTGGGAAGTAAGTCCACAAGCTTATCAGTTGCTACCCATTCCTGAGTTTGAGGCTGGCCTGCCATTCATTGTAAAAGGCCTTGGGCAGGTGTCCAACCCCTGTGAGCCCCTGCCCTCACCAGTAAGTCAGCCCTGCCCTCACCAGTAAGTCAGCCCTGCCCTCACCTATATGTCAGCCCTGTCCTCACCTATATGTTAGCCTTGCCCTCACCTTAAGTCAGCCCTGCCCTCACCTATATGTCAGCCCTGCCCTCACCTATATGTCAGCCCTGCCCTCACCTGTAAGTCAGCCCTGCCCTCACCTGTAAGTCAGCCCTGCCCTCACCTGTAAGTCAGCTCTGCCCTCACCTGTATGTCAGCCCTGCCCTCGCCTGTATGTCAGCCCTGCCCTCACCTGTATGTCAGCCCTGCCCTCACCAGTAAGTCAGCCCTGCCCTCACCTATATGTCAGCCCTGCCCTCACCAGTAAGTCAGCTCTGCCCTCACCTGTAAGTCAGCCCTGCCCTCACTTGTGTGTCAGCCCTGCCCTCACCTGTAAGTCAGCCCTGCCCTCACCTGTAAGTCAGCTCTGCCCTCACCTGTATGTCAGCCCTGCCCTCGCCTGTATGTCAGCCCTGCCCTCACCTGTATGTCAGCCCTGCCCTCTCCAGTAAGTCAGCCCTGCCCTCACCTGTATGTCAGCCCTGCCCTCACCTGTAAGTCAGCCCCCATGGCCCTTCCTTCTCCTCAGGGTTTTCACAGAGAATTCATTCAGAGAAGTAGAGAAAGCAGATGGCGGTGGTTATCTCTCTTTGGGGTGCTGTGGGATATTTTGGTCACAGAGGCTGAAACGGAAGCCGGGGTGCGCACAGAGTTCAGGGGTTTCTCTGGGGAAGTCGGGGTATGCTGTGGGCCAGTGGAAGAGACCTGGCTTGGAATCAGGAAATCCAGGCTACTTATTGTTGCCTCAGTTTCCTTTCAACAGGGGCACTTAATAAAATACCTTACAGGGTCCCCAGTTGAATGAAGGCTCCCAGGACAGGGAATCAGAGTGGTGGCCTGGGACACTGGCTCGGAGTAAACACATTTTAGGTAAAACGCCTTCAGGCACCAAGAAGTTTGAGCATTTGACGGAGCTCAGACCCACCAGGACCAGTCTAATCACCAGCCTCTCTAGGGCCCAGGGCCCCAATGGCTGGCATGGCTGTCCAGGTCCTCAGGAGGATGAGCTAACTGGGGTGTGCACTCTCTGAGGCATGCTGGGACATCTCAGGAAGGAATGCAGTGGAGCACTGCTGCTGCAGTTGTGGGTATTACCGACCTTTACAGTGCCCCCTGGCCTTGTTCCGTTCATGAGATGACAGAAGACTGTCCCCAGCAAGGTTGGTGACCAGATGGGAGTTGGGCATCGCTCTTTCTGGAGGCAAGAGAGTCTTTATGAGAAGTAGAGGAGACTAACGGGTTTAGGGAGGGCCAGAGGCCCTTCTTGTGTCATTCCCTGGGGGGAGGTGGTGTAGTTCTCACCAGATCTCATCTACCCCTAAGCCTCCATCAGCACCACCTGCCCTCTGCTGGAGCTGCCATGCCACTTCCTGGTAGGTAGCACATATTCAAAGACTTAGGATGTTCTTAGTGGTTTTTGCTCCTCCCCCGACAAGCTCGCAGGGCCACAGGTCTGACAGGCAGGACACCTAGGAAGTGTCATTGCGTTCTCTCAGGGTGTTAGTAACTGCTGAAGACAACAGCTATTTGATTGGGAATTTGGATCCCTTCCCTGGCTCTGTCCACACACCGAGAACCTTCTGAAGGCTGTTAGCGGCCTGCACAGACATTGAAGACAGTGATCCTTGGGTAAACTGACTCTTCCCAAGGTTGAGGACATTACACAGAATACAGCAGCATTGGTCCTGGAATGGTAATGCCTATGTAATTGCTAGAAAATGGAAACCCTGGGAGGTTAAATGAGTCATAGAATCTTATTCCTGGAAGGAACTTGAGATCATTCATTTAACATCTCACCTGCTGTTCTCCTCTCACCTACAGACAGAATCTCCACTGGCTGGTTTACCAGCTTCAGCTGCTGCTCTGCCGCCACCTCCTCTCCCTGCTGCTCCTCCCTATCTTCTGAAGGCTAACATTGAGCCCATACTATGTTCCAGTTGCTTTATGTACATTAAGTTGATCTTCCAACAACCCTATAACTAGGGACTATTGTCTCATTTTACAAATGAGTAAACTGAGGCCTAGAGAAGTAGCATAGCTTACCCAAGGTGACTTACTAGTAAGTGGTAGAGCTGGATATAACTTTGGCAGTCTGAACCATGCTCTTGACCATCAACTGGGGCTGGGATCAAGCCTGCAACCGAGGTACTGAAATTTAACCCATAACCCTTCAGACCTTGGGCTGGTACTCTAACCATTGAACAACACCATCTAGGGCCAAGGTGCCCTCTTAAAGGGCCAACACACAGGATCTTGCTCTGGGACACTTACCTGTGGCACTGGTAGAGGGAAGGCGACTCGGCATATGGGAGTTATAAGGAGAAGATCTGGGTGGTGTGGCCTGAGGAGAGGTGTGTGGGATCAGCCACCAAGGTCTCATGACAGGGGCGTGCACTAGCCTGGTCCTGCAAATACTGGCATCACCACTCTACCGAGCTCAAGTCCTGCAGAAAAGTCCACTGGCTGCACCCAATAGGGACCTTTGGTGCTCTTTTTCTGGAGCAGCCCTTGGTGGAGGCTCAGACAGTCATTGGGGTAGGTAGCTTTGGAATGGTAGCCATTCTTCCCCAACTCACTTGCACAGCTGGAGCCCAACTGCCCCCACCTGGTGATTCTCTTGGTTGGTTTGTCTGACTCCCAGGGCCCTGCCCTTGCTGAGTTCAGTCTCTCAGGGAGATCAGAGTGCTGCATAGAGCACTCTGAACTTTTGGAGCATATCTCCCTTGGAGGCTCTTGTCTGGGACTCAGATGGGTGCTGGGTTGTGTGGCTCGCATGGGGAGGCATTGT